GAGGCACAGTCTGTCCTGCAGATGCATGATGTTCTTCATTGTGGCAGGTTGAAGGCTTGAAACACTGCCCACGAAGGACTGCCTCAGCTTGCAAAAGGCCAAAACAGGGGCTGTCCCTCACACAGGTTTCTATTAAAAGGGGAAATGGAAAGAAGAATGCTATGCCAAATCGATAGGTTCCTTTAAGGAACCCACTGCTTCCTCCTTTTTTGAATCATATGGAACAGTCCTAACCTTTGGGTAAGCTAAGTGTTTGTCCAAAATGCATAAGGATTAGATTTTGATGAAGAATTATCCATTGGGATGCCAGCTTTTAACATTAGAGAAAAATTCTCTTCCTCTGAGACCGAAATTTTAAGAAAAACATGTCCATAAAAAACCTTCCCAAAAGTCTAAATTTTTTGTTTTGTTCATGGACCCACATGAGTCCACTAAAGTCCCTAAATCTGGTGGCCTGCATGTCTTCCCCTGTGCCTCCATTCACAGCTGGGAGTTACCCTTTGTGTTATTCTTCACCATCTGTCACTTGAACTGCTAAATTGGAATCATCCTCCAAAAACTCTATCTTCCATCATCTTTTTCTTTTGTGTTCTGTGGTGCAGCCAGGGTAGTCTTAAGTAGTTTGTCTCTTACCTACAGGCACTTAATATTTTGCTCTGTCAGACAGGATTTCCGAAGTTTCCTACCACTAGGTCACTGACTCAGTTGTGCTGCTGTTTCCAGTGCTGGAAGTGGAGCACTCTGGGCTTTCCTAGTGTTTTACATTCCAGTCCTTCCCAAAGCAGTCTTAGCAAAGATCTTCTACCCTAGGTATCCTCACTCAAGGCAGAACTGAACCAGAAGTAGCAGTAGGATGAAATTTTAGTGGGGAAAACGTTGGTACAGTCACAGGCTGTATTTGGGATAGCTTCAAATGAATGGTACTGGACAAAATACACTAGTGTGGGGCTGTAAATATCCCACCCTTTTTCTTTCTCTCTAATGGGAGAACAGCTATGTCCCCACATGGAGAAGGTAAGTACTGCATCTTTAAGGTCTCAGCAGTGAGGTAGAGGAGAGGAACATATTGTCAGTGTTTATACCTTTCTTCTTTGTTGAATTTGGGATTGGCTTCAGAGATATCCAGGCTTTTACTGAACATTGTTTTACTATGGCAGGAACAAAGCGAGAAAACAGAGTTACTAGTGTGGACATTTATAAAAGAGAGTCACCTGAAGCAATGCTGGACACCCAGCCCCCCAACCCATCCTCCCCTTTTTAAGCAGTGCTCTGAAAAACCTTTCTTTTACTTTCCAACTATGGCTGAAGCCTACACAGTGCTGAAGTTCATTATCTCCCCCTAACTTCTGAGGTCTAAGATGACTTCCCCCATACATACTTGTAAACCCTGCTCTCCTTTATCCAGCTGAAAACCCAGGTACATCTGCTTTGTCACATCGTCCAGAGAAAATAGAACTTGCCTGAAGGCATGAATTGCAAAGCACTCATTACTCAGACTTTTCTAGAAGAACTCAACACTAAGCATAATCTGGGAAAAGGTTAAAATCAGACCATAGGGCCTCTTACAGGAACAGTAATGCATTTGGTATTCTGATTTGTAGGGTCCATTAGCACTTACTCCCAACTCTCTTCCCTATACTCAGTGTATAGAGAAATGCCCTTCTTTATCATCTTGGGTCTGAATCCCTTGAAGCTTAGAAGCAAAATTCCCTACGCTTTGCTAAAGGGGCAGCTCTCTAATACATTTCACTGCTAATACACGTCATTGTTTCACTGCTTCCTAATGTTAGCTGATCTTTCATGCAAGCTATCCACTTCAATAACCAGAAGAAAATGAATAGTTAATGAAGCCCATTTTAGAACAGTTTTTGGACTCTCATAGCAGAGCTGCTGAAAATTCCTGGCATATCCCCGAGGGATTCTAGCTCCCATGGAATTCTTCCTAGTCTTTTGGCATAAGGGACAAATTAGCTGCTGTTAAACTAAGCTCAGAACCTACCTCTTTTCTTTTGACATTTCAATGAAATACCAGATAGTCTGAGAGGTGTGGATGCCACAACAACAAAAGCGATTAAGATGTTATTATGAACCCATTTAGTTGGACAACTAGCAGGGAAAACCAAGAATTAAGAAAACTTTGTCACCAGTTTTAGGGTGGCTGATGTTTGTGCATACTAACTTTGCCACATACAAAGACCCAATGGAGAACACTTGGAGAGGTCAGCACAAGCATTTCAAGGACTCTGTAAGCTCAACAAGCAGCCTTTGTGCCGAGTTCCCCTCTTCCATTGTCCAAAACTAAGTCACCGAAGGACTATGTTTTTCACTTCATACTTTCTCAGCCTGTAGGGTTGAAGGCTGCCAAGTTTCAAATCTCAATGGAAAGACAGGCCCTTAAACAAGCCAAGACCAGACCCTTGTAGGGTACCCACAAGGTCACCAAAAGCACAGTTCACCACACAGAAACACAAACCAGAGGTTATGACATAAATCCCCTTTATGCAAGCAAACATCTGTTTACTACTGGGAAAGAGGGCAATAGGACTAAATCACAAGACACATGGGTGTGCTCTGCCCACTGGTTAGAAGAGTATCTCTCCCAGCTCAAGAAAGAAGCAATGGCTTTGTGTGTCCAGATGTTTACACACGTCGTCCGTGTCAGAACAGGAGACCTGTTTCCATGGTCCACCTCCCTGTCCTCCTAGTCTTGTAGGTTAAAAGCACTGAATAGTCATCTGCTGAGACCAAAAAATGCCATTCTTAAAAAAGCATCCACCTCTGGGGTTTAAGCCCTACTGCTGTAAAATCCACTCTCAATGGGTCATTTCACGGAATAGAATATGCGACTAGCCCTTAAAAATCCTCCGCTCCTGGTGGAAGGCTTGTCACTTTGTTACTGACTGTTCTGACAGATGGTGCCCCATCAGCAATGCATCGTCCCCAGACAATCCCCATGCAGTGGTGTTCATTAATGAAGCCAGTTCACATTATAAACGACTGTGCTGCCAGCAACACAAAATGTGCCGTTGTCATCTGTGGATGTGGATGGTATGAATTATGGAAGCTCACGCATAGAGTGAAATAACATCTTCCCTTTAACCCCTTCCAAAACAAGCACTACCATGCCCATCATCATCAATCATGGTGATATTACAGCCCTTTCTCCACCCTTAATCACACCTTTATGTCCAGCCCTGAGTTGTGGTATGCATTGCCCTGTATCTCTTTTGTGCCTCGCAGGTTTCGCTCCCTCCTTCAGCCAGAGACCTTCTTTACTGATATGCAGCCTGGATATGTCTCTGCTCTGAACTCATCTCAGAGCTTTTGATTTCAATTCTTTCCATGTGCAGAATTGAGTGAGACATTTAAAAGCAAAAGAAACACTTTCGATATCAAGACACAGCTTTGCCTCTTCAGGCTTTTGAATCCAAAGTCAAAGCTGAGAGCTGAAAGAAAAGGTTTCAGCTCTCAGAAAACTCTGGGATCAGTCTAACACCTCCTACTCGTTCTGCCCAGGTGGCACTTACTGTAAACAGCCGGAGGGCACTGCGGCTCACAGGCAGTCTTGGGGTGGGGGGAAGTGATTCACCTCTGCCTGGCTCTGGGACCTTCATGACCCCTGCATCTACCAGGCACCAGATTAAACACTGCAAGCTGAATAAGGAGTGAGCAACTGTTTGTCAGTGTTGTGTTCACCTTTATCGCTTTGAGGCCTGAGAGGAACACTGAGCACACCCTGTCCTGAACACTTCCTTTGCTCAGACCTCACATCAAAGCAAACCACATATTCAAGACAGGTTTCCAACCTACACTACAACGAAAAATCTTCATGGCAGTGTATCTCAAGGTCACATATCCAGTCTAAAGTAAGTCCTAGTGGATTCTGGAAATCACCACTTTTTCCTTGCTGTACATAGAACTGTAACAGTTGCCAGCAAAGCTTTCCAGCAATTCTAGGGGCCTCTGGACATGAAAATATTTCACATTCTTCATCCAGTTCTCAGTCAGCAAAGGGAGTTTCTGGGCACAGCAGGCTCTTTTTGAGCAGATCTTAACAGCTGAACAAAAAAAATCATATCATAAAGCCAAAACAGAAGCTACAACATCATCATCATCCATATATGTGATGTGTTCTTCTGAATTGATTGATTCACGCAAGTGTGAATCCAAACGCATGTGCTTCCCTTAGGCCAGTTGTAGGGACTGAGGAAGCAACTTCCATGGTTCGCATAAGGGAACTTCCACAGTTCACTTACTCTCCCAAAACCTGCCTTGAGGAGACACCATTTTCTTCTGCTATTTCTCCATAACACTGACAACGTTCTTTGATAGAAAAAGAGGCAAAATTATACATATTTCATCACTTTACACGCATGTGGTAATTTATGCGGGTCAGACACATGCTGGCTCTGACAGCACATTTTAGAGGCATCTGTAGATGCCTGGACAGGGCTTTCCAGATTCAAGCTGTTCTGATGACATGGAGGGTGGGGTTCATCTCACTTATCTTTGGGTGCCCAAAAGCTAGGCACCTAATCCAAGATAGTCATCTGGATTACTGTTGTAGGCTATGGAGACAGAGAGGAAGAACCAGAGGGTAGTTTATTCCATCTAAGATTGTGGGACAGAGGACATATGTAACTGAGACCCTCCAAAGCCCTCATCTGTCCCCACTGCCTGGAGTGACAGCCTGTATCACAAGCTTAGACTGAATGCCTATGTTCTGGACAATTAAAAAGAGGTGAGCTGAATCTTGCCCAGAGGACATGGTGGTTTCCTGGGTGATAGCTGCAAGCAAACACAACCCTTAAGCCCCTGGAAGGACTTCTGGTCCTGTGTGCATAGGCGCTGCTGGCTGCCAGATCATGTTGTAAATGTGCTTGGAAGTTGTAATGAGTGCTGGTGCGAATTGAAAAGCTCCACAGCTCCTTTGTAGGTCTAACATCAAAGATGGCAGCAAACCCAGACAGGCAGGACTCCTGGGTAAAGGAGAGACTCACCTCTGTCCATGTTGTGCCATTTCAATAGCTCTGCGAGCAGGGACTGGGGAGCCACCATCTGTCACGCTGAGAACCTCCATCGACTTCCTTTCTGGCCGCCGCTTCCCATGCCTGTTCAGCATTGGGGAGTCCACTCGCTTCCTGGGGGGATCTTTATGAAAAGAAAACGCTGTCAGCTGAATTCCACTGTGACTTACCTCACACAGGTTGGTTAAACCCTCTCCCAGCAATCTCCCTCTCACATCTCCCCTGCAGAGACAAGTATCTCATGAGGGAGGTGAACATTTGCAGTCTCTCCCTTCTTCCAAATTTGCAAATATTAAGATACAAGTTGCAATCCATCTACAGAGAGAAGGAGCACTGCTGCTGCCCTGAATACACGAGCACTGTAAAATAAAGGTACAACTATGGAATAGCTTGCAGAAATTACCTTACAAAGCTGATAACAGTAATAACAAGATGACAGTATGGGCTATAGCACAAGCTGTTAGCCAGAGTCATCTAGCGATCCTCTGTAGGTACTCAGCTTGCTAGAGCTTGCCTTCGATGTCCCTGCTAGCTAGATTAAATGTGACACAGGGACATGAGTACACTCCGAACTTAGAATTGCATTTTCCTCTGAAAACATATCCTTTTTTTTGCATCTTTAAGATTAGATTTCAGGTTTTCCCCGCTGCTTTATGTTTTTCCTCTTTCAGCATTACAAATTAAACATACTTGTCTACCCGAGATGAATCTCCAATGAGAGCTACTGGAATTTATCTCAGAGGTCATCGTACAGATTTTACTGCTATAGTAACTTAAGTGCTTTACACTTTTTATTGTGTAACATTTCTATGAGGTACTGAAGTGCTACTTTCACTTTGCAGAGTGAAAACTGAGGTATAAGAATGAGACATTCAAAGGCAATTAATTCCTAAAGGTGCTGACAAACATTTACTGGGGTTTTGAGGAGCACCTGAATTGCTCTGAAAAGAGTCCTTAGATACCAAACTGCATTGCAGAAGGTGACTTGCCAAACCACACACACCTCCACGGCAAAGCAGGGAACCAAATGCAGACCTGCTGAGATGTTTTATTATGAACTTTTCTCACGGTATCAAAACAGTAAAAAGGAGGAAGACAGAAAAAAATACAGAAAGATTTTCTTTTCTTTTCTTTGGCTATTTCAGGTCCCTGCCTCTATTCTATTTATAGACAGATTCTTAATTTCAGCGGAGAGTGGCCACCTGTAAGAAAAGGCACCCTTTGCCCCTGCAGTTAGAAAGACGCTTGCAGTGCCCAGCCCCTAAGGCTTCTTCCTCTGCCAGGAAGCCCCGAAGGCTTCTTCCTCTTTGCAAAACCAGAGATACTGCATTTGACAATTCTACCTCTACTGCCTAGCCTGATGGCATTATTTTTATTACCCTGCTCTCCTCATACCCCCCACCTACTTGCTTGTTTCTTCTCTCTCTCACATCATGGTTTTTAGAACAAGATCTCTTTTAAGGCAGGGCTTATTCTTGAAACAATGAGCATGAGCAAAGATGGCTCAAATGCAAATGGTCTAGTGATAACAACTGACCCCATTACTGTATAAGCCAAGTATTCTTAACAGTAATAAAAATTAATTAGAAAAAAAAGCAGTTGTGTCTCACCACATTTCAAACTACATCCAGTAATAAAAAGGTAATAGAAAATACTAGCAGGGGCAATGACCTCCAGATTAGGAAAAACATATAGTGCATAAAGCTGAGGGAAACCAAAGGGAGATAAACCTAGTAAAGCAGTTATACTGGGTGAGTTCAGCTGCACACGTGTAAGTGGTCAAGAGTCAGCTGGGACAAGGTTTAGACATTTCAAACTCCTGCTTCTTCAAACAAGTTCAAAGAATGAGAAAGGATTCATCCCACAGGACAACTGCTGGTATCGGAAGCGTGAGTAGAGCCAAGGAAGACACATAATGACAAGATAATTACGTTTGGAATCCACAACAGAGAGTTGAGACATATTTTGCAGAGGGATATCGACCTTAGAAAGGAGGATGGAAGAGTGCAGTTTAAAAGAAAGGAAAAATAAGGAAGAAGAAGGAAGATAAAGCAGCTAATGTCAAAAGAATGGAGATGAGTAAGCTCAGACTGCATCAATGTTAGTTAATAATAGAGTCTAAACAAGAAAGATGGAAAAAGGCAAGAAAAACATTTTATGAAGAGGTATTTTAAAAGGCAATTTAATCCAAGCATGTTCAAAACAGAAGAACAAATGGAAATTCACCTGAGTGACACTTACAAAAGTGACAGGCCAAATATAAGGTGGACATTAAAAGACAGCGAAGAAGAAATTTGAAGAGGAATTGGCTAAAGACTTGAATAACAGTGTTTTATACAGCCATCAGAAAGAGAGAGCTTGAGTGAAGGAGAGTACCCAGAGGGACCGTGAGGGAATCAACAGAACAATTAAGGAGGAGAAGGATATCACTAACAAGCTAAATGGTTCTTTTGTACGAGTCCTTGCTGCTCAAGATGCTGGAAGACATTGATTTCCAATCTATATTTTAAACTATCAAAGAAAGGGACTAAGCAAAAAGAGCAGGTGGTTAAACACACCTATAAATTCAACAACAGCAATTCACAGAAGTTTGATGGAAAATAGATCCAGAAGCTTGTACGAATATAGCTGAGCTTCTAATAAAGCTATTTGATTCCTCCTTGAAATTGGCTACAACCCTACACTATACATGGCTGAGGGTAGCAAGTATTGTACATGTTTTTTAAAAGAGTCTGAGTAAGAAATGGAATGACACCGAGTCTGTCATCACTGCCAAGTCTAAAGGTACTAAAGAAACAGTTAAATACACAGCCAGCCTGCCGTAAAGACTAAAGTACTATCATATAAAAGTGGTAGAAGATTTTGAAGAACAGGAATTAAAAATAGGAAAACCTCCAGTGTTCGCCCTTCTCTTCTTGACTCTCTGGTAGTATTTCATATGGGAAAAAAGATCGAGTCCTAGTCTGGATCTGCGATAGTTCTGAGGATGCATTTTCTTTTTATTTCACATCAGAAAAGTGAAGCCATTCCTAAGGATTTTTACAGAGGAAGAGAGAATCGTATAGTTAATGATCCAAGTGTCAAGGCATTCACCTGGAAGGTGGGAAATAAAGGTTCAATTGCTGAGTTGGGATGAGGCACCTATATCCTGTAGGGCTATTCTGGCCCAATCCTTGTTCTCTGGTTTATTAAGAAACTCCATCCCACAAAAGCCTTTTCCTCAAGGAGATGCTGGTTGACATTCATTCATTTTACTGAGAAGTTTCTCATTTCTATGTTTTCAGGTAAAGAAAATGGAGCTGGGCTTGAAAGATGGTGAAGGTGGCCCTTCCCTGGGCCTTTGAGAAAGCTTCACACAGCTGAAGCAGACAAAAGGGACACCAGAAGAGAGTGCTAGTCTGAGCTGGCCATATTTTTACCTGCATCCATCCTTTCTGAGACCTGACATGCAAAATACTCTGAGATGCACATTTTTTTTTTTTTTTTTCCCAAGAGCTCAGGCAATGCACAACTCTCATGAATGTAGTTTCTTCAAGCTGTTGTTATTAAATCTGTTCATTTTTCTCTGCTCTTCTTTGTGCAAGGCCATTGCTAATGGCTAATGATGAGATATTCATCAGAAGCATGACTGCTTTTAATTAAACCTTGCCCCATGTTCTCAGAGATACTGCTGGGAACAGAGGAGGTGGAAACCCCCTGTGGAAGAGGAAATACAACCTACAAACACTCAAAGAATAATGCTCAAAGACTCTAAAATGTGCCGATGAGGCACGACGATACATTCACAGTAGTGTTTCCCTGTTGGGGAACATTTTCATTCCTTGCACAAAAAATACTAGAGTGGAGCATAATGTTTCAGTTCAAACTATGAAAATACTTTGGCGTGTGGAAGAGAGATATATGATGTATTTAGGGCACAGCTACGTATTCATGTACGTGCTGGATATGAAGATTCTAGAGTCACCTTGCCTCTTTTCTTATGACAAAAGCACTTCTAAAACAAGATGATGGTGTCCTTACATGGCAGGATAATCTGTTTCAGTCAAAAGCTGATTAGTAAAGTGCTAGATGACAAACTGCCTTGAGCAAGGGGCTTTTGACCACAGGACCTGCAGTTGGCACATCTACCCATCTTCATCAGGTTCCCTGCTAACGTGCTTTCTGTAGCTCCATCCAGGTAAGAGTTTAAAAGTTACTGTGCTGATGAAGAAAGTCCATTTCTCTCTCATAGAGAGAGAATCACAGAAATCATAGAAAAGATTTCCCTGCAAAATCATAGGGCCTGGAGCCTGGAACTTGGATAAGGTAATAATCCAATGGAGTATTAATGAAGTTACAGTTCAATATACCACTGCCTTGTAAGCCTGGGAGATTCCAGGCTTTCCAGTGAAAATAAAGAAGCACTTTGCTTCCAGCCTTCAAAGTGCTGAAATACAATATCCGAAAATCACAACACTACCGTAAAAATGCTATTTCAGGTCATTGATAGAAGTGACTAATCTTTTATTAGTTAAACTTTTGTCACTCTGCACAGCAAGAGTCGCTTATATAGTTAGCTCCTTAGGGAAGGATTTTTCCTGGTGTCTGGATTAGTGAAGTCCACGGCGATCAGCAGTACCTAAAAATACTAATGAACAATTCTTCAGGAATAAAGTGGTATCACAAGAGCTTTATAAGATACATAATCTTACTGTATATTAAGCCTTTAAAATCTTTCTGAGATAGTCTAAAAACGTGGGAGTTTGATGTATGTGCTATAAACAGGTAAGTGATATTATCCATACTTTCAGCAGTGTATATACTTATCTACAGAAAAGAGAACATGTACATTTGTAACTTCACAGGGATGCACTGCTACGCAGTTGTACTAGCTCGAGTCCAGAAGGAGCATTTCTGCAATACTGCATGCAGATTAGTAATTAGAAAGTTCTGCCACTAGACTATACTGCTTCTAAACCTCATCTGCTTGCACAGAGCTGGCTTGGGGATCCACGTGGTATTTTTGAAGATCTGGTTCATGACCAACTTGGATGTTTCTGCATTGTGAGACAGACACGTCCTGAAAAATGAAGCCTTCGCGTTTAACCACAGAACAGACCTGACTGCCTCAGGCTGAGGATTCTCACCAATGCTGTACACCATTTCAGTGGGAAGGTAACAGTGATGCTAGGGTTTGGGCATATACATTAAAAAAAAAAAAAGGTGAAGAGGAACTAGAGATGGGTTCATAGTGACAGAGGTCATATCTGTAGTACCTATTTCATTTCTAGGGGGAAGATCCTCATCTTCATGACTAGGATACCTCTCCTTCCGGTCAAGCAGAAGAAAATAAATCATTTTCTCTTGGTTTTCTCTGAAAAAAAGAAAAAAAAAATCTTTAAATTTGAAGAGAAAACCACATCAACATGTAGATAAACCCTTCTCATCAAACAAATAGTTACAGTTATTCTAAATAAGCTGGAAACAGCCATGTATCTGCCAGCTAGATACACAGCTCACAAAGCTTTTGAGAACCTTGCTGTCTCCAACATGCAGCTAGTGAGGAAAGGAAATACGATTTGCCATGTTACACACACAGAACAGAGGCACAGGACAGATGAGGTAACATGTTCACAGGAAGTCCAAATCAAGAGTGGCAGCAAGACAGGTCTCCTGAGCCTCTAAGTGCTCCTTCCACTACGTGCCCCTCTTAACACGTCAGGAACTACACCAGCTCTCAGGTGTAATTAATAAAAATTTGCCAGCAAAGACACACCCAACACAAGTAACAGCAATGCTGCCTCCCCATCCGGACGGCACGGCCCATCTTTTCCTGAAGTGACCTTGCCTGGCAGCAAGGGAAGAGATACCACCGTGCCTCCCTTGCTGGTCAGGCTGTGAGCTTCTGACACACGGTGCAAGAAAGGCTCCCTGCTTGCTCCCAACCCCTCACTAGCATATGAGCAGCCAGAGAGTGAGAAGTTGCTACTGGTCCCTTGCAGCAAGAGACATTAGTTAAAGTGCTCTCTACCTCTCCCCAGGTTTATAAGCACCCCAGCCCGTGGAGACCCAACTGATATGAAGACTGAGCAAGTGCTTACTCTTCCGACAACAAGTCCTGTAAGAGTTTATTTCGGTCACGGAAGCAGCCTAACGAGTGCATGCTATCTAACACGTCTGGATCAATATCCTCCAAGGAAGGGAGAGAACGAATCTGCACCTTTCGAGGGATTGGTTGCTCTGGTTCTGGCTCGTTCTTACCCCCTCTGCAGAGGAAAGAAGATGAGAGAGAGAAAGGGGGCAGGGAAAGAAAGAGAGAAAAGAAACATGAGTCACAAATGAACCCATACTCTGAAACACAGCCTGCAGCAACAGATGGAAATAGCTTGTTAAATTCCCACTGAGAGACCAGAGCTCCCAACCAGACAGATATTCTTTTCAGAAGAAACCACTGTGAAGGCTAAGAGTGACCAGCACCTCGTGGATTTGGGTCTTTAATGAGAAATGTCTGCGTTCAGTCAGAAAGGCAGTAGGAACTTCACTTACCAGTGCCCTCATAATTTAAGCAGCTGTTCAGTGTCCTAATGCCAAACATTTATAAAACACTCCGCAGTTTTAGAGATGCTGTCTCATCAGCAGGCCAGACCTCAGGCTATCAGGCAGAAAAGTGCAAGTGGAATGATTCTCTTTCAAAGAAGGAGCTGCAAATAAACTGTCAGTGTTTTTCACCAATTCTGATTACAACCGGCATTGCAGCAGTCTCTTTCTTTAAAGCTTCCAATGTGATTAAGAGACCTCAGTGCTCAGGTCCCACTTGACACCTTTTAATGGGTTTTTGAGGAACCCAGGCTGTTTATTTTCATGCCCAAATACAACAATCTCTGCTTCTCTTCAGACATGCAAATTTGAAAACCCTGGCTCAAGTGTGATGCCCATGAGCAGTAGAGCGTATCACTCTTGTAAAAGTAGTTAACACAGGCTTCCTGCATAATTATCTCATCCCATTCACTAGGCTCAGGAAATATTGATTATTCGTTGCAATTAAAGGCCCTGACTGCAAGGAACAGGTCAAGGTGTCAGGGTATCTATAACTGACTGAATGACATCTATTGCAGACACCCTGACTATCCTTTGATTTTCTTTAGGTAGGCAGTGAGCAATTTATTGTAAACTCGATCCACCCAAAGCAGTGGGTTTGGTGGTGGTGATATTTCTGTTGGAGAAACAGTCTACCCTGAATCTTCACTATTTCTCAATGGATGTTTTGTGTGACATTGAGGTTTTTCTACTCTTTGGGTGAGGTCCTCCTCTTCCTTTATGTGATGTAAATGTGTGACTGTTGGGTCCAGCCTCCCAGGGTGGCAACAGGAATCGGGAGTATTTAAACTGCATCAGACGTTAGCATTTGCTGTTTATGGGGCTGTGTTTGGGCAAGAGATTCTTCCTTTTGATGCTGGCAGAAATACAACTTGTGAACTTGCACAGCTTAAAATGCTCTGGGCTCAGATATGAGCTGTCCAAGTATATACAGAGAAAAAGGAGCTCCAATTCAAATGTCCCTATTTTTTCTTGGGTAGGTTAGAAAGCAACTCTGGAGGATCATACACATGAGCTCAAGGCCTTAGCCAGTGTACCAAAAAGAGAGCCAATGCAGATTATCTCCTCCAAGGTAAGAAGGCAATATGAAGTTGCTGCTGCCAGGGCTCTGATGCTAAGACAGGACAGTTACACGCTACACCTTAATCACAGCAGATTGCTATTTATTTTTAAGCAAGCTGAAATGCAACTGTGAGGTATCTGCTCTGTTAACCATGTTTGTGGGACATCACTTGTAGAAAGACTCCTCGGAAATTTTCATTTTATCTTCTCTTGAAGCAGTGAAAATGTGTTCAGCCCTTCCTGGTTACGTGTCATGGCCTCTGGTGTGTGTTACAAGGGTCAGATCCTGCTTCCCATACACTGAGCACTCACAGACACCCTGCTCAGTTTTATTCAATTTAGGAGGCTGGAAGCAGCATATACAGGACAGAGAAAGAATCTGCTCCTTGGGATTTATTCTTCTGTGTCATATCACTAAACCGCAGCTTCTGATGCCCCCTTGGAATCTCGTAGAAGTGTCTATGTCTTCTGCAATGACACCATGGTCTTGAATCTAAGGGCTAGATTTGAAAATCCTTGTTCAACTAAAGAAACATCTTTAGTGCCCTGTCTTTAAAAGGTAGCTACTCCTACCTCTTAGGATCAGGATCTAGCTCTCAGCAGGTAGTAAGCAACGATCAGATCACTATCAATCCAGTGATGACCTTGTCATTAAGATGTATTCTTTCAGGACAGACCTTGGAATAGCAGCTGAGCGGTTTTGCTTTTTAATGATCTGCAGTTCACTTTTAAAAAGTATTGACTTAATTAATCATTCATTATGTTACAAGCAGATATCCTTAAAGACGTTAAAAAGAATTATTGTTTTTGAAAATTTCCAGAAAATCTGGGTTTCCTACTAGTTGCCCTGGTCTAAAAGAGAGTATCACCGGCAAGCTTCTTCTCTATCAGTCAGCATGGGAGCCATTTCTAGAGAGCACAGCTTGCCATCTTCTGTGCACCGAGAGGTGGCTTTTCCTTATGCCCTGCACCTGGTCAGCCTCAGACATAGTCAGGAATTTTCACACCTCCTCATCAGGTACAAGCAAAATCTGCAAAGAGGCGCCTTGTCATTTGGCAACACAACTCAGTGCTTCGGGAAGAGCAAATCACTGGGGCTGGCTGTGATTGGCATGGCTGTATTGCCTCTTCCATTCTCAGTCTAGCAGAGAGTGTCAAATTTGTTGCATTTCAGCCCACATAGATATCAAACAATGTCACACGATGAATACTGCAAATCACGTCTATTTTTTAAAGGCCCACATGAATGTAATTGCTGCTCTAAAACCTGTCTCTTTCGTGAAGACTGGTGCATACAATGGCTGTGATTCCGGACCAGGGCGGACTTTTTCTGTCTCTCCATGAAATTTCCTCGTGAATCTCACCGAGATGCACATTTGCATCAGTGCAAAGCAAAGCAGAACTGGTACAGTTATTCTTTTTCTGATTTTAGTAAATTTGGTACCTTCATGATTAGGGCAATAACTCAGTGTTCCAGGAGTGTGTATTTACCATAATAGCTAATTTTACTTGCCCTCTTGCTTTATGAAAAAAATGTGAAAATAACTGCTGTTTATTTGCTGTTTTACGGTAACTGGCGTTTGAGGAAAAAAAAATTTATTTCAATTAAAAAGGCTTAAAAAACCTCAGTGCAAGAAGAACTGGAGGTTGGTGACGAAAGGTTTCTTTTTCGTTTCTTTTCTCCGGCTTGTGAATCATGATTTCAACTTTCAAGACCTTTTTCTCTGTCTGCCTAGTCTGCAATTAAGTCTTTTCCTCAGTTTTACAGTAGCCTTAATACTTATTTGAAGAATTCAATGAAATAACTTATATGTTCTGAGTACAACTTTCAGGTCAGTAACCTACATATGACAAAGAATGAAGATTTTACATAGAATAGTACTGATACATGAAATAAAGAAAAAATTAAAGATGTGAACAAAACAGCCACAGAGTAAAACATTTATAACCCCTCCTTCTCTGTCAGCATCAATATTTCCAGGCAAAATGAATGCAAAGAGGCTGTGAAACATTACCAGATGAAAGCAGTCAAGTTTTGGAGGTGGCAGGGTTATTCACAGACTAAATTTAGCCAAAGGAGGTTAACCTCCTTAGGTCAATCCATGGCCAGTAGAGAGAAAATGAGTAAGAGACTCACTAGAAAAGCTATTTTGAGCAGAAACTTCGTTTTAGGCAATCTGGACAGACTTCTGGATGAGCCTTTCTCTCTCTGCATTGACTACACTGGCAGTCTAGGGGAGACTTGCTTTGGCAAAACCCAGTTTCTACTTCTGAAAACAGCCTCAGATGCTGTTTCCATTGGGGTAAAAAAAACTGTTTACTGCATCAATCATCAGAGAGTCTGACCTTCATCAAGATGTATGTGAAAACGTTCAAATGCTTATGTCTGCAAAGAAAAAAACCTTCAAATTCTACATGTAGACTGAAGTCATGAAGTAACATCTGCCACGTGCACGTGAGCCTGGGACAACAGTCCTCCGACAGGTGAGAACTTCCAGGCAAAAATCTTGAGGAGGGTTAGAATAACAATATAAGTGATCAATGACATTTCATTTCACTTCCTATTCCAGTTCTGATCAAAGCAGAGCGAAAGTCAGCTGACTGCACTCCATGAAAAAACAGAGGTGATCGGCTGTCCAGTCTGGCGTAAACAGGATTTACTTCTGGAATTGCTAGTGAGACGCTATAGGAGGGGTATTTCAGAGATTACAGTTAAAGATTTCCCCCCTCCATTTCTCCTACTTTTATCCATGAGAGTTAAAAAATCCTAAACCTGCAGCAAACAACACTCGAGTCCTTCTTCGGTTTAAAGAGGTGCCATGTCAACTGGTAACTGCAGAGAGCATGAAAAAGCCATGGGCAGAGTGCTGCCACCATTACAGATGAACCAAGAAAAACCCATGTTATTCAACCAACTGTTGAATGCCCTCGGGTCTTATCAAAGTCAGACAAATCCAGAGTGATCATTGCCCATAAGACAGAATTAGAGAAAACAAAACAAATCAACAGTTTTTTGGTTTGTTGTTGTTTTTTTTTTTCCTGGTGACAGCCTTAAATATCAGTTCATAACATCCTCATTTCCCAAGAGCAACGATAGTCTTATAAAGGCAAGACTTTCCTTATCACCCACCTGGGGAACCTGTAGGTATGCTGACCCCGAGAAGCATGTATCAAAGCATCATTTCCTTGTTTAATACGTGAAGTATTCTCCTTAGTTTGATTAGGTTATCATCAGTATAAAAAATAATTTATTTACTTAGATTTCTTGAAATACTATTAAGGCTACACAAAGTGCAAGGTCACTTTTAAAAGCCATCAGTCTTCCTTATACCCAAACCACTAGACAGGCGCAGACTTTTCTCACAGACCTCCTGTTTCACTGTCAAGGCTGCTGCTTTTAATCAAGTCACAGAACTGCTCTCACATCAACAGGTTACAAGGTCAGAAGCAGCCTCTTAGCTTGCTGCGAAGGAGTAGGGATTAGGAGACAGAAAAGCTCTTGTTCACAGGTGCTTACTTATCAATATCATCGTTTTTGTCTCTACTTCAGAGAAAAGCCAAGATGCCAAGAAGGAAGCTTTCTCGTCAAGCAGGTATTACAAGGGATTGTCTGTAGCACTTGGATAGCAAACTGAATGTGGCTGTTAGTTGGGGGTTTTTTGCTGATCATTTGCAGGGATCTTTTTACACAGCAAGTTGCTGGACTGAACGTTTATTTCAAGCAGTTGCTAGCCACTAGTTCCTGGCTTGAGATAAATATATAGATAGATAAAATTTTATGAGTAGCAAAGGGTGAAAAAAAAATTAAGACGCCTTTCTGTCCTCTGCCCCTTTCTCCACCTGTGTGAAAGCTGCTTTCAAACTCCAGTCTCTCTCTTCAGAGATCACTAGAATATCAGCTCCCACAACAGAACCAATAATAAATGCATGCAAAATTGAATTTAAAAAATATGTTACTTACATATACCATATGTGTTTCTGAATATGTTCTAGCTGTAAAGGGAAAGAAAACAAGCAATTAGTGCTGTAAAACAGAAAAGGTAACTCCACAAGACATCCTTTTCCAAGGCTTATTCAGGTAAGTTCAACATTCCAGAGATGGATCTGCGCAAACAACAGGAACTTCATGCTGCATAAGAGCATGTTCATCCTCACCTGCCCCACTGGAAATGAGACTATAATTCTGGACATAAGGAATCAGTCAGGAGCAAGTCTCAGGAAAATGCCTAAGTACAAGGCTTCACAGCAAGTGTTTTGGCAGTTTAAGTTTTTCCCTTCCTAAGCCCTTGCCCTCTATAACCTAACTGAAGCTAACACACTGCTTCTTTCTGTATGTGCACAACAGACGATTCTTTAGACCTAAAGTTCGTTTCTAGTTTTGTTCTGGAAAAAGAGAGAGAGAGAAGCAGATAGAAACAGGTTCAAATAATATGAATAAACAAAATAAATAGTGCATTTGTTATATGACCTTTTCCCGGGACCCATTCTTGACTGGCTTCACATTTATCATTAAAATCTGAAGACCAAGTAGAATAAGGTTCTGTGTCAAAATAATACCACTTATTGTTCCAGCACCTGAACACCAGACTGCAAATTTCTTTTACTTCCCTCTTCCCTGTTTCACACATGAGCATTTTACTATGTAATGAAGGACTGATCAGAGCTGAACAGTGGCCTTGTCCACCACCTAGGGAAGGCAGATCCCAGCCAATGCTGCATGATGACCATGTTTTCCACAAGCATGAGGAAAAGAAAGTAACATCCTTTTTCCAAGAAACTCTTAACGGGAGAGAGAACAAGCTGTTCATATGACATACTTACAGCAGAACCTTCCTAACTTGTTTTTTTTTGAAGCGTCATCGCAGCAGGAAAGAACTTCTCACAAATGCCCAGGGATTATCCGTTACAGGGACAGTATTTCTCCTATTCCTCATTGTGAAGCACCTTTGTACTGCAGAACAATATGCACACTCACTGCACATAGGCTTGCGTTTGTGCAACACGCAGGTGAAAGGCAGAGGAGAGCTGGAATGAAACTCAAGTGCTAACAGCTATAAGATGAAATCACAGGCCCATTAAACCGGTCAGGAAGAACGGAGACAGCTGTCCTGCTCATTACTTTCCACTTCAATTCCAGAATAGTGAGAATCAGAGAGAAATAAAAGAAAGAAAAAAAAAAAACGGGAACGGACAAACAACAAAACCTCAGAGACAGCAAGTAGGTGTCTGTCCCAGAGAGCAAGGAATCAGAGACCTCTGTGCTATGGAACAACAGCTCTGTGCCTGGGAAACCAGGAAGATCTGAAGTTGGCTCTATATCAGATCATTTTTTAAGTGAGACAGGGCTTTTCCTGAAAACAAAGAAACAAGGGAATGCAGCTTAGGAAAGCATGACAGGAAGCTGGAGGGATCAGTATGAGAGACAAACAGCCTCCTTTAATAGCAAGACTGCACCAACACTGCAATCAGAGGTGCAGTCGGTACTTGCATACCTATCTGTCTTCTAACCAGCCCAGCTGCTGGGAGCACCAATGCCCCCCACCACACACATCCACGGGCCCGGGCAGCCTTGCACAGCTTCCAGCTGTGGCCTCAGCTCTGCCACAATGACTCCCCTTCATCACCATTCCCCTTGCATTAGGTAGTCCTTTCACCCCTGTGCTATTAAGAGAAAGGTGGAGCATTCCTGACACAAAGCCATCTCCCCTGACCAGCTGAAACTGAGGTAAGATACACATTATGGGTGTTCCCCTAACAGCCTGGAGATTCAGCCTCTTCCTCCTCGTACTTTGCAAGCTGAGGTACAAATACAGAACATGAGAAGAGCCTATTTTGTACGGTTCCCATGGGACAGGATTTTAGCGAGGTTACTTATCAGGTCCGTAGTACTGTGAGGATCTGCTAAGCAGTTAACTGTACCTCCTTTGCCTGGTAAATCCACTCTATGAGATGCATATCTACTCGTTATTTCATATAGACCACACAGGGTTAGAGACATTAATGATTTCAGACAAGATGCAGATGATACAGCTAAGCGATGTCCAAGCCTCTTTCATGCTTGCTTCTCCTGCTGCATTTTCTGTCTCCGTGGGTCACATTGTTCTTTTGTGGCTGTGATACGTAGAGATGCCATGGCGAAGCAGACAACAGCACTTCACTTTCTGAGTCAGAGAGGGGGAAGAAAGGAGGGTCACCAGTTCATGTCTTAGTCACAGAACCTCTGGGCTCCTTCAGGGAAGATGTCAGAGAAATCCCTTCTGCCCATCCCTGCTGATCAACCTCCTTCAATCTAATGAACCCACAGCGTTTTTCTGAAAGAGAAGCCCTGTAGCACCTTGATACACATTCGAAGGTGCCTGACAGCTCTCACGGCTGCTCTTTACCTACACATCTGCCATTCAATCCACATCAAAACCATTGCTGTGAAGTATGCTGGGATATCCCAGATATGACAAGTATTCTACGAATCCAATTTCTGTTCCGATTCAGATGTAATTGCATTGAAATATTATTACAAGTGTGCTTGCTGCTGCCAACATCTTCACTGCTTTTTTAAAGGTAATTAATTAACGCTTTGTTGCTCTTCATCTGCATTAAAGTGACAGGAGGGTTATGGGAGGGCGATTGGTTTTGACAAGAAGTCTGTATGCTTTTTACTATGCAATGTAGGGGAGCGAGATACACAGTGGGAGCTAATCTCACTCCTCCTGCCTTCATTTAAACACAATGTTTAAATGCATTTAAGTGATGAAGGCATTTAACAACCCTTCCCAGAGGGTTCTTCTTGCTGTTTGCACATGAGTTTGCCAAATTTAATGCCATTTTATGGAAGTTGTAAAAATGCTGCTTCCTGATATCTCCTAGCCACCGCAGGCAACAGTCTCATGATGCCATCTCTGAAGTAACAAAACATGCTCAGATCCATTGCACATGCACAGTCAGAGGAGAGACTTCTGCAAGCTAAAATGCTGTAATGGAAGGAGAGGGGGAATTCCTTTATTATGATTTCACGTAAAAATGCTTCCAATGTATATTGAACTTGCGTACTGAAGCAGCACCTAGGAGCCGCACCCATAGATGAGAGACCCGCTGTGATACAGAGCTGTACAACCTCATCAGAAAAAGAGGTCTCCTCCCCCAAGGAGCTTACATCTGAATTCTAAGGCAGGGAACAACAGATGGAGACAGACAGGCAGATGGAAAACAAGACAGCGCTGTCTACATCTTCGGCACTGATCTCAGCAGAGTGGTTGCCAAGCTAAAAAGTTCTGACCTGTAGAAAAACTTCCTCAAAGTCTGTGGGTATGGGTGAGGCCTTCTGGGCTTGAACTCATGTTAAATTTCAAACTTCTCTGTCCAGAAAGGGAACAGGCTTAAACCCATCTTTACACTCAGTCGACCCACACCTCACATGAATCTTCTTCATTCAGAAGATCCTCTAGTATGAGCTTTAAACGTACGGTGTAATGTCAGGATAGAGGCTTTTCCTGCCCAAAGGATTCAAGCTGGCAGTGCAAACAGCAAACAGTACTAGTAAAACCACTATCTGTGTCAGTAGTAGCAGCCGTACTAGAGCAGCCTCCAGGGACCTTGACAAGGGCAAGGTAACACTAAGCTACCTGCATGGTGCACGTAGGCCCTTGGCAGCCAAAGGCTTACAGCCTGAATACACCAACTGGGCAATTGCCTCCATTCTACAGGTGGTGAAGCGAGATAATTCACGTGACAGGCCCCTTACCATAAGAACCTCTAGAGAAATAATGAAGGTATCAGGTGAGTTTTCCTTTGTTCACTTTTTTAATGTTCTTTAGATGCTGTGGTCCAGCATTAGCATGCATTAGACCCAAGAAAAAACAAAATCAAACAAATAGGAGATTCTGAAAATGTGTGTAATTGAAGTTGGATAATATGCAGGGACCGGTATTTCAGACTATGTGGACACCCAACACAGAAGACAATTTATTCTACTGTGGAATAACATGTCAACACTGGAACAATAACAGCTTTATCAGAATAGCTTATTCTGCAATATCTGCTCTGATCCACCTTGCTCTACAGACAAAGTTTCAATAATCCGCCTTTAAAAGGAAAGTGGACCAAAAGCTCCTTACTCTGCCCGCTCTGCCTTTGTGCTTCTGTAGAAGAAAATACTGGCTGAGAATGCAAACAGATTCCACTACAGGAGCTGTAATTCTCTGCTGTAAAGATGCTGAATCATTTGAAACCTCCAAGGAAAAAAACCCATTCACTCTCTGAAGAGCGCATAACTAAAAGAAACCTCATCCTGCAGTACTGCAGGCACTGAGAGCACTCACTCTCTTCCATAAACCTTGTCAAACTCAAAACTAGTTCACTTTTCCCTCCTAACACTACTCCTATTAGAAAGCTGTCCCAGAAGTTAGTAATATGGTGAAAATGCTGCTTCTAATTTCTAGCCTACTTTCATGTAAGGCCATCTGACACACATTTGGTTTTGTACCCGTATCTTCCTTTCATTTAAATAATCCTTCTCTCCCTAGTAATTACCTCTAATGAATATGCAGACAACCAGTACAACCCTTCTTAGACATCGTCTGTGTAGGCTAAGTGGAGCTCCTTTAGGCTGTGCTATTCAGACAGGCTCTCTCAAACGCTGACCGCCTTAGTACTCATTCTTTGTTTGATTTCATCTTTCATGAATATGGGTGGTCAGAAATACCATGACCAGCAGCTAGGATGAGCTTTTGCAGTCTACTGAAAGAAAAACATGGATTCTTTTATTTTAAAAGATGTTTAGCAAAACAGGCCCAGTAAAGGAGAGCGGTCAAGGATGTCCTGCTAACCATACATGAGGCTACGTAATATGTGGTGAGTGTGAACAATATTCCACTAAGACACAACGAAGTCTTCTTTCCATACATGAATCATATACAAAGAAAGGTGATGCCTATTTCTTAAGGCAGGAAAGGGCCAGCAACAATAATTCTGAGTACCCTTCTCTCCATTAATCCTCTCAAGCTCTAACACTGAAGCCGAACGATGACAGTTCTGTTTTTGTTGATCATTTTAACAGATGGACTGGGGAAGGTGTGGGTGTGCTGTGAAATGGCAATTACTGCAGGGAGGGAAATGCAGTTGGATGAAAAGGAAAAGAGATACAAATCAAAAAAAGGAACAAAGCAGAGAAGGGAAGGGAAAAATGAAAGAAAAAAATTCTAGTGACCTTACATTTCACTGTATTTTTCTGCTAAATTCACTAGTGAGTTATCGAGCAAATGATCAGTAATGGTAACAGCTACATCTGTACTTATTGTACCCAAGCCACAATTTCACTCAGATTTTTGTATAAATATCAAATTGATTCAAGTGAGGTATTTTCTAGGAATAGAGGCTTCCAAATAAACCCATATTTAGACTCTTTTTCACAGGACACAGCTAAAATCGAATTCAGATCTCTCCTCAAAATGAACTATATATTCCCAGCTTCTGCATGGTAAACAAAGAGCTCCCTTCTGCCTGGCAATCTAAGCAACCAGCACGCTAACAGCATAGAGGTGTGACAGCAGCAGGGACAGCAAACTGAGACCCTAAAATCAGGAAAATAAGATTGCAGCTAGTAACAAAGAACTATCTTTTTTCCCTCTCGGCTCTCAGCTCTTGAATAAATTTTATTTCAAATTCTTATGCACAATTCACTGGTTAGTGCTTGTCAATAACTATCCAATCTGGGTTTTTTTCCTCCCTAAGGAAAGAAGAGCTTAATTTTGATCAAGAAAAGGGGGGGGGGGGGGGGGGGGGGGGTGTCACTCTGTGACCTTGATTTACCTTAACTGTTTTCTCTCTTATGCATGTACATTCTCTGCTGTATCGCACAATTCAAAACATTTAGGGACTATGCATTACAGAAAAACTCAGTCTGAACAATTTGAACAAGGTCTAACATCTGATGATCTGCTCCCTTGCATATTCAAATCATCGGCGCTAAGATCTTTGAGAGAAAAAACCCCAACAGATCAACTGTTATGTTTACATTATGGAAAAGAAACTAAGCTAGAGAGGGACTTGGTGACCTTCTTGGTCATGAAGAACAGCCGTCTCACGTCTCAGGGTATAACCTCTGCAGTTTTCTTTCCATGAAAATACTTGAAAAAATATTCTTTCGTTCTTTAAAAATCTGTTTTTAAAAGGCCTTTTAAAGTGCCTAATGTCTTGGGGTTTTGTATTTTTTTTTTTTTTTCCCAGTGCTACTTATGTACTGCAAATGGGATGGCTACTGGTTTTGCACAGGTGGGGATACGAGTAATAACACAAAGAACTTTTCACCTACGTCATCGAATCGAGCATGGCCTGGTTTCGTAATGAATGAAAGGAAAACTCAGCTGCAGCTGTCAGGTAATACTGTAAACAGCGTTGTGAAGGGAGTTTCAGTTCACTTCTTAGCAGACAGGTGTCTGCATCCCAAAAGCACCATCACAGCTGGCACAGACTGATGCCGTTGTTAGCAATCTCAGCAGAGAGGCCAAGCAGTGATCTGAGAGTTTATTTATAAATATTTTAGCAGACTGAAGAACCAGGAGGAGTTTTAAATTTACATTTCTTTATACATACTCCCACTCAGAATCTGTGAGCTTAGTAAATCTGTATAAAATCATCACCACAGCCTGACAATAGGATTTACAAGGGCAATGTATCCATAAAGGCAGACGCCTCCACCAACAAGCAGGCAATCTTGCTTTCCAAAATGATTTTAATTGCTAATATTTTTTTAATTCCCCAAAACATTACCACAGTGTTAATGAAGGATACAATCACTACACAGTGCCCACCCTTGCAGGGTCTCTGTTGTAGTGACAGGGTGTACCCTAGATGCAAAGACTCAGTGCCAAATGCCAGGAGCTCAATGCTGTGGGCCTAAACGTGCCCAGCGCCCCAGGGCACAAGATGAAAGAGCAGACTGGGAGACGCTTGCTCTGAAGGCTGCTAGAGGGTAATGAAGAGCAAATGCAGGATAGACTACAAAGCAGGTTGCATGGCATGAAGGAAGAAGCCATCACTTTCATCAGAAATGTAAAAAGAGTATACTCTGTTTAATAGCAAAGCTTCAAATAACAGTCCTAACAGTTTTGACTTTCAAACAGTTACATCATGTCCCCCACAAACTGCTGTATCAGCCAGGAGAGCCAGACAACTCAGGTGGACTCCAAAATGTGCTAATGGGTCTGCAGCACTGGGATGACGTTATGAGGGATTTCTTCTAAATGCCCACTGTCACATGTGAAAGAGAATTATGAGGCTAGAGAAGAGATGCAAAGGTAACTTGCCTTGGTGACTCAATAGAAAAGGTAACTAACTTCTTCCCAAAGACTCTACCAACTCCAATCATTCTTTGCTCAGGAGGAAACACACAGGACTGGCAGTAAATCAACAAGTTACCTTAGTTATTCAACCATAACTGCAACACAAGGTGACAAATGAAGCCTTGCTCACATGACTCACAGCAAATGCCTTCTTACCGTGAGACGTTTCGAGGCATCCACTTCAATCATCCCCCGCAAAAGGTTCTGACAGTCTGGGGGGATAAAATGTGGCATGTGGAACACTCCACGTTTCACCTTCTCCAACAGCTGCCGCAAGTTGTCGTCATCGAAAGGCAGGGCACCCTGCAGGGATGTGACAGAGTGGTGGATAGGAGAGATGAGTGAAGGGGAATTGGGGAGGGCAAGAGAAAAGCCAGGATAAACACGGTGAGAGATTGGAAAAGAGGAAGTCAACTCATAATGAATTATTTAGTAAGCAAAAAAACCTTTTTATCCATTGAAAAGAAATAATTTCTTAGTGTTGCTGTATTTTCTCCAACATAGGAAACAAAACTAAGGACATAGTTTTCCTATTAGACCTTTAATTAGAAAATGACTGCCAGTATAAAATATAATACAAAATATGAAATTGCCTTTCCAGGCAAATTCACCAAAGATGCATGGATTCACTTAAACTGAGCTCCAGCTTTTGATGTGCTGGTATTCCTCCTGGGCACACTTTCACAGCAGCAATGTTTATCGTCTCCTTATTTTTAATCTTCCCGAGACACATTTATTGCAGACATTGAAAAGGAGGTGAACAGAATTTGAGAGACTTTCAGTAAGGAACATCCTCTTTCTGATGGCGCAGTGAAATGACACAGCTAAAAGAAGCCCTAACCAACATTAGCCTTTGGAAGCAGCAGACGTTCTACCTGCTTAATACACTCCATCCAGTTCCCATGCTGTGGTCAGGTCACCAGTTCCTATTGCTTCCCTACCGTAGCTCACTTACATGAATGGCTTGAGGTTTTTTAGCTGAAATTACATTTTGAATAGATCATCAGCTTGCTACAAAAAGCAGCAAAAGACTTATCCTTGCTGCAAGGACAAAAAGGAAAAAAAGAAGTTGAAACCTTTAGGATAACTGGACCAGCTGAAGCTGATACCCTTTTATAGCAAGTCTGCACCTTCCTAGATATTCTCGCTTCCTTCTTGCACTGCCTAATTCGAGTAGGTGCCGAGCGTCCTTGATTTCCAGGATGGTTTGTGGGAAGCTGCAAGCTGTCAGCTGCTGTGATAATGAAGCTTTAAGTTGTCAGTGCTGGCACTGCTCTTACTACAGTGAGTAGTGCATCTGTATAAGCCACCCTGTGTCTATGGTTTATGGAGACCAACAGCTCCGTTTACAGAAGCCTCAGAAAACCCACTTGATGGCAGCTGCTACTGGGCACTACTGACTGCTGTGTGTTCGTTCAAGCGGCCCTGAAGAGAGCGCCTCCCCGCCTTCTGTAACTGATCTCCTGAGTTACCTACTTCTTTCGTAACTGTTCCAGACTTAAAGGAAAATCAATTCTGATAGTTCAGTACTTTGGCTAACGCAATTTAAGCCACGATGAAGTCAGCAAGGCTGCTTTGTGGCATTTCCTGAAGGTAACAACTACAGCTCTTTTATTACTATCACCTGCTATTATAGTTTGAGACTTTTTGTAGGGTTTGTCCTGACATAATTAACTGGAGAGCTCTGCACTCTCTGTCAATAATAGACTTATGTCAATCATTTTGCAGGCTCATATATATATATATATGTAGGAACAGACGAAGATGCAGCAACAGAGAGACATCAAATCTTGACAGAGAATCCCCCTGAAAATGAAAAGTCCGCTCCTCCCAACCCTAACCATCTTGACACATTCTCTCTTCTATTCTTACAAATTCAAGGAGTTATATTAAGAGCTCATTATACAGTTCTATTTTATCAGCCATGAAAATAGCTGCTCAGGAGGAATAGATGACCAGGTGCTATCTAGTGAGATAATTCAAATTCCTCCCTTGCAACATCAAGATAAAAAATCTGAAACTTCAAAAAGTCAGTGGATTGTAATGACTGAAAAGAAAAAAAAGGGAAGGATCAGTTAAGGTGAATTAAAGCATCATACTGAGATTACTTCAAGGTATTTTGATTCAGGCCATTAAAAAATTTATCAGCGTATTTTTTCAAACAAAAGTCCTTTAACATTTTCAAGTATTTTAGACAAAAATAATGTGTAAAGTCTAACTCTGTACATTGTACAAGTGCTTTCGTCAAAATAAAACATTTAAGTGGAGTAATTAGGTTTACTAATAAATGCATGAGAACATCAAAATTTGACTTTGGGCTTGTTATTTTTGTACTTGTAGATGATCATCTGAACTATTACAGATATAAAAACCTTAACACACACATAAAATCTGTTCTCATATAGAGTATTTAATCTGCACACGGTGTACACTTATATGAACAGAAACTATATTTCCCT